GGCTAATGTTTTCGGCGCCTACGATATTTCCTCTCACGACCTATCGCAAAATCAACATCAAAATTATTCCGCATTTATTTTTTGTGTGGAACACAAAAAATCAAATTTCAGTCTTATTTTACATTTTTTTCATTCTTAGGAATGTCTAAATTCAGTTAAACTTGCAATTCCGTATTATATTTATAAATCTTTATAACATTATACAAAAAATAGATTTTTCTTAAAAATTGAAATTTTGCCGGGAATGGGGCTTTAATACCATGGAAAGAAAACTTTACATTCACCATAGAGGGATACTACTGAAGTTTCCATGAAGAGATATCACTGAAAGCACCATTGTGGAAATCATTGATGTTAATATAGAGAATACTATTGAATGGTACTATGGATGGCATACAAACGAAACACCATAGAACGAACCATTAGGAGAAATTACTACAGAAGGCACCATTACTAATATGGACAAATATCATTGAATCTACCATGGAAGAACACGATAAGCTAACATGAGTATAGCAAATATGAGCAAATCAAAAGACAACAATTTTACCTTTCTGAGGCCTCTTCTGTGGTTCGTATGGTACTGAGTAGTCATTCTCTGGTGGCTGAGCAATCTGGCTGGAAGGGGCATCAAATGTACTATCTTGTGGTAAACTATAGCAATCCTCCTGCTCCAAGGCTTTGCGGATATCTTTGGGGTCGCTGTAATCATCTAGCACTACGGTTGTCTATAAAACAAATTTCAACAAAAATCTCTCATAATTTGTAATGTATTTGACTTAAAATTATTTAAAGAGCATCTAAGGTCTAACAGGATGAGCTGAGCCAGATGGATTGCCCTCATAAGGTAAGATAATAAAACACAATTAACATAGATATAAAAGAAGGGTTTGAAGATACTATAGTGTGAGTACTAATATAAACCTTCCTTTTACAGTACTACTGCACTTTGGTTTATAATAGTAGCAGGCTACAAATGGGTATTTCAAAAACCAAGAGAGCAGGCCTTATTAAATTTAAGCACTATAAGCTATTTATACTGTATATATTTTTGGCATCTAAAAATAATTGCTTGGCCAAAAACATTAAAATCCCCTTATTATGACTTGAAATTAAAAAGGTGTGAGGTTTTATTATACCGTATGTCTGAACTGACATAAGGGTCACTTACTCGGATAATAAAATAAGGCAATGGATTCTTCTTTGAAAGAAATGATAAAATGTAACAAAAAAATGTATTAAAAAAATGATGGAATTATACCGTATGTCTGAACTGACATAAGGGTCACTTACTCGGATAATAAAATAAGGCAATGGATTCTTCTTTGAAAGAAATGATAAAATGTCAAAAAAAATGTATTAAAAAAATGATGGAGGATTTCTCGGAGATGGGCTACTACTACATAATGGAGGCAATGGATATCACTGAACCTGCTATTCAGAGCTGGAGGAATAGTATCAATCATTAATTAAGTATAGTTATAACAATATGTACTACCTTTCACTTTTTATTAACATAGGGAAGTGTGTCAATGTCTTTTTCTTTTATTAATTCAACTGGCAACAACGCTTGAGTATTGAAACAAAATTACCAATAAATATTTCACTTTCAGCTCATTTTTACTTTGTATTCTCATTAAATCCAAAAAAAATAATCATATTAATTCTCGGGGTGATAATAACCAATTTCGTTTCACAAGTTCATCCTTGTAGATTGTCTAGCAAATGGCTACACACACTTCCAGCTGGTCTAATACACATTATATTATCAGCACTTATAAAGCATAAGGAGCATAGACACCCCATATGTGCAGTAGTGATGATATATGATTGGTTTTCATTCCAGGTCTATGCAGTCACTTATCTATTTATAGTAACAGCGTGGTGACAAAGTGGATATCATCACTTAGCACAATGGCAATTCCAGGTTTGGTGATTCATTTGCAATATGCGAAAACCTATGTTCTGTTTTTTTTTTCTTGAAACAGTTGATGTGGTCAAAACCATTGTTTTCCCAGAAACAGAAACAGTTGGTTATGCATTCAATTAAAAATGTGATGGAGCAAATATGCTGGGCACTTTGTGTCTTTCAAAAATCACAGAAATGAAAATGAAACAATTAATTATGTATTCATTATTTGCTGAGAATTATAAGCACTTAGTAATTCTGCAATATTTCCAAACAGCCTCACCCTTTCTTTAATTTATGAATAATATCTCTGATTTGTTATATCACTATGTAGATATATTACAGTATTATGAAATATTATATTGAATTGCTTAGTTGTATATTTAAATTGATTAGTTTTTAATTAGAAATTAAAACATTTTTTTAACAATAATTTTACTGTGTTGCTTGCATAGACCCAACTAAAATCATTTTAAATCAGTGAAATCAAGGAATGTTTTTAATCTGTCTCATTGGAAATTTGTATGCTTTTGATCCTTTAAAAAATTATAAATTTCTTGTTTTAAATGAATTTATGAGGCATTCATAAAAAATAGTTGTATGCCCATACTGTACTGTATATATAGTCATGATGTATTTATATAAGGTAATGACATGATGTGATGTCATCATGACCATATTTATTTATTTATTTTGGACAGGGCTTTATACTCCTAAGTGGAGCTAGACAAACAATCAGACATCCTCTGACTTGAACTACGACCTTTTAAATACATACTATGCCACATGCTCCCACAAAATTAAGACATTTGTATTTGATATAAAAAAAAATAAACAGAACATTTTAAAAATTATTTATATTTAGCTATAAATATTTAGGCCTTATTATGTTTCAAAAATATCAATTTATATAAATTTCTCATCTATTAAATAAATGATGATATAGAGGTCATTGAACAAGACGACTGAATAATTAAACAAATCAGTACGTTAGTATTAAATTATATTAAAACATTAACACAATTGTATGCTAATTCATTTCTATAAATCCATCAATACATCAATACAATCCAGAAATATACAAAATTTGACTTTTTGTTAAATTATAATGTTCCAAAATCCCACAGCAACGCTATACTATTTTGGGAGGCTATAGTGCAGTGATATTTGGAAGCAGCACTTATTATTATAATAGCTTATAGATTTATTGTCCATCTTTAAAAAAAAAAAAAAATGTTCATTTATATTTTATTAATAAAGCTATCAATTTTCAATGAGACAATTCAGTTTTTGCTGACATTTTACTAAAAAAAGTTAATAGCCAAGTTGATCCAATATATTCAACAAAAAGAATGGTATTGTTTAAAAATGCGTCTGTTAAGGTATATTCTCACGTATAAGGCGTCAGCGTATAAGACAAACATCGAGTTTGATCATATTTTAACCTTCGTCTTATATGCAAGCATAATTATATGGTAGTTGATTAGGAAATAACATAATGTTCTAATTTTGAATACTGTACCATTAATCTAAAATCCTTTAAACCAAATCTCTTGATGAGGCCTTGTTAATGAGTGCTTAGGGTTTTTGTTTTGTGCCAATTAATGATCCTGGCCTTAAACTGGATTTAACCAATGACGGACATGAATTGGCAAAACAATGCAGATACCAAGGCCTTCACAATACTACTACAGCCTGAAAGATGTAATACTAAGAATTCGCACAAGGACTTGTTCATATCACCCTCCCCAGGCAAAAATAATGATTTCAGTGATTTAATACACTATAGGTATTCACAATATCATATACTGTAGGCCTAAAGCAATATAATAGTGTATAGGAGGTTATATAAATTTTCCTTAATAACATCATTATCTATTAACTACAGTATGTCAACAACATCAAAGCATAATTCTATACAGTACCTTGATTCAGCTACTATATTTAGTAATCTGACAAAAACTGTTTATTTGTATAAAATTTTTTTACCATGGGGACACTCGTCCAGTTTTCTATTCATCAGGGCAATTTCAAGCGTTCATTAACAATGGCAATTGTTTGTATTTGAAGAGAGTATGGTGGAACAGCAAAAAGGAAATATTCTTTGAAGCACATGTTCCTGGTTAAAATAAATCACTTTTGTACATGGGTAGGTCATTTAACTCTAATTATCTCCGTTTACAGATAGAACATTAAGCCATAGGTCCAGTGTACACAATGGCTCAGTGCATTAAAAAGAACTTGGTACAGTTAATTAAGAAGAAATTAGGGGATTGTTTCACTGGTTACTGAGCAATTTAACTTCCTGTCTTGTCCATGTTAATGTAAAAATTACTTGTATAATGAAATTGAAAATAAATTACCAACTAAATTGAAGGAAATTGATGCTTTTAGAGATACACTTTTTTGAATTTCTGAATTACACATAATGAATGTTTAAGCAATCTGTAAAATGCGACCTGTATATTAAACTTTTACCTCTACAGAAGAGACGTTACCCCACATACGATATACAGTACATAGCCGAGTAATCATACTGTACTTCCCATATAATTGTAATGGCTTCCATATGGAGGGTATAATAACTTATTACTTTAAAAGGTATCAAAATACATGGAAGCATCTATGGTAAAGCTGTTGAAAGGGTTCGGATCTCAAGCAGACAACTTACTTGGCAAGGGACTTTATCAAAGTAGTCGCCACTCAGTGGTAAGTGGGTAGCCTGGTATATTACCAAAACTGCAACATAATAGAATATACTGTACTCTCCCAAAAAACAAGGTATGTGTTTGATGCATACTATGTTAAAATGTTCATAATATGCATTGCTTTTTTGCCAAATAAATATTGAATTAAATGCCTAAGCAACTTTTAGCATCACATGTATTATGAGCGTCCATTGAATGTACTACTGTACTATACTGTACATGTACTAAGTATATTTTGTAAAAGTGACTATTTTGAGGATAAACACTAGTCTATTAAGCTTTAGCATAGGAGTTGTTATGTTAGAATATAAGGAAATCCTTGACTCTGAACCCATAATCCAGTTATTATTTATTATTGTTTACAGTTGTTTTTAGCAAACAGTGAAAACAAATTCTTGGCATTTCAAAGATTTAAGATATAATTCAATTATCAATTATCAATATAATTTTTTTACATGAGTTTTTTTAAGCAATGAGAAAAAAAATAATGTGTTGTTTGTTTTAGAAACTTCTTTATATTGTATATAGGAGGGAGGTTGACTCAGAAGATAGCAAATCCACAATCCAATTATTTAAAAAAATGTTACATATTAAAGCTAGTGTTGACAGTGAAAAAGATTTTGAAGTGATCGAACCATGAATATTACATACCATAATCACTAGGCTACACTGTACAGATCCTTTGTAATTTATAGTATAGGAGTTACAGGTGCACTGACAGTTGAATAGCTCTGCTGAATACAACTTTAAAGATTGATCATTTGTCAGGTCAGGTCAAAAGCAAAACATAGGGGGTGTGATTACTGTATGATTGTTTGTATTTGTACTAAACGGTATTGCTTATAAATGGATGTTATTGATAAAATTTCAGTATGACTTCAGCATGATTGAATTCAAACCATGATTGTATAGTACAGTATAAATAGCTATACTACTGTATATTATTCACTATCAATCATAAGAAATATAATGGATAGGTAAGATAGGTAGATAAAATATGTAGAAGATTGATGGATTGATGGACAGATGAATAGATAAATTACACTAAGTAGAGGTAAATTACACAAAAAAATGTATGTACTATTAATCAACAGAAACAAAATTCAAAAAT